GACACGATTAAAAGTGACAGCAATAGACCGCTGCCAGGCTTAGAACTATGCAACCCAATACATGGCCTTCCTGGGCACCAACAGTGCTGCACTTTCAGGAGGAAGACTCAGATTTCATTTTAACTAGTTCACCACAATGAATTAATTTTTTTAACATTAATCCCGTTTTAGTTTGCATACTGTTTCCAATTTATTCATCATGTGTAACTATGTTGTAACCATTACTAATGTACATGTATTCTTCCTTTATGTTCACCATCTATTTGTAATAAAGATTCACATTAAGCCAAGAACTTTGTTGGTTTGTTTCTGTTGAAAGGTCGAGCAGATCTAAGAAAGGCCGAACCCCCAAGGGACCCACACAGAAAAAAAGTGATAGGCTAAGATTGATGTCAAAAATCAACAAAAATTAATTCCAATTTATTCAGTGAGAACCTTAAGTCAAGGTGTGGCTGACTAAGGCAGCCTGATGTTTTTCAGTGAGGAAACATGAATTTTTTACACAGTTTGAGTAAAATATGGTAAAATCTTCTGAAGGTTCAAAAGATTTGCAAATGTAGAAATACACCGCAAGAAAAGGTGGTCATTGTTGCTTTAAGTTAGGATGAACCCTGTTTGTGTAAGCCTCCATGGGTCCTTCCCATGCAATCTTTCCCCAGAAATATCTTAAATTGACTTGAGCTTGCATAGCACTTTTCTATTCTTCAGTCTACTCAAAGCACTTTTACACCGCAGACGAAGTAGCTGGAGCAACTTTGGCTTGAGTGTCTTGCTTAAGGACATATCAGACATGTTGCCCCAAGCTTTACCCTTTTTCCCCACCGTAGGGGCGGCCATAAATATTGAATCACACCATCAAATGCCAACATTTATATAGAGGAGAGGAAATATACCTGAGCTGTGTATAAGGATACACATGTTCAGTTCAGGCTGCGTAGGTTTTATGTGCCATGAAACAAACATGTTTTAAATGTATAAGAACACAAAAATCCTACAAAGTGTCAACTTTTGTGGTTTTTCGGGCAATTTTAATTCTTTTAGATCTTAGCGCAGCTTTTGATACTGTTGATCACACAATTTTAACTGATCGTCTCAGACATTGGGTTGGTTTAAAGGATACTGCACTTAGCTGGTTTTACTCTTATCTTTTAGAAAGAACCTTCGCGGTCACCATCGGTAACTACTCCTCCTCTACCTCTAACATTACCTGTGGTGTACCGCAAGTTTCGGTTTTAGGTCCCATTTTATTCTCCATTTATATGCTGCCTCTTGGCCAAATAATTGAACGCCACAATGTCTCCTTTCACTGCTACGCAGACGACACACAGATATACCTTCCTTTGAGACCTGAGGACCCTAGGAGCCTAGCTGCTGTCAGAAACTGCCTAAGCGATATCAACTGCTGGATGGCGCAAAACTTTCTCCAACTGAACAATTCTAAATCTGAAATCATAGTATTCAACCCGCCAAACACCACTCATATCTCAAAGAGCAGCCTCGGTCCCTTATTCACCAATGTCCAACCCACCGCCAGAAATCTAGGAGTAACATTCGATTGCAATCTCACCTTTGAATCCCATATCAAAACAGTTGTCCGATCAAGCTTCTTCCATCTACGCACCATCTCCAAAATTAAAACAATCCTAACCCAACAAGACCTTGAAAAGATCATCCACGCCCTCATCTTCTCCCGACTTGACTACTGTAACTCCCTCTTTTCCGGAATCACAAATAAGTCACTGTCTCGCCTCCAGCTGGTCCAAAATGCAGCAGCTAGGCTTCTTACTGGGTGTAACAGACGACATCACATCACTCCAATTTTAGCTTCATTACACTGGCTTCCTGTACGTTTAGAATCGATTTTAAGATTTTACTCATTACTTTTAAAGCACGGACGGGGCTGGCTCCAAGCTATATAACAGAGTTACTGACACCATATGAGCCAGCCCGCAGTCTTAGATCCTCGGTGGGAGCCTCCTGGTCGTTCCAAAGTCGAGACTTAAAACTAAAGGTGACCGGGCCTTTTCAGTCAGGGCCCCTCGACTTTGGAACGACCTCCCTGAGGAGATAAGACTCGCAGACTCCCTCAATTCTTTTAAATCCCTTCTTAAAACATACTTTTACAGACTTGCTTTTATGTGATGTCGTCTTCTTAATGTCTTCTCTTACTGGTTTTACTATTTTTATCTTCTTCTACTTCTTACTGTCTTTTATTTATGGTCTTATCTCGTATTTATGCTCATATCTTAATCTCCTCTTGTGTTTTAACTTGGTAATTTCTTATCTTACTTACTTTGTCTATTTATGTTTCGTATTTATAGTTAATTTTTATTTTTATTAATATTATAGTTTTGGGTTTTTTGATCCTTTAACCACTTGTTTTTATTTCCTTTACTGCGCTTACCTTCTCATTGCTTTTTATTTGCTTTTATCTCTTAGTTTCTTACATCTTTTTAAATCTTTGGTCCTCTTGGTCTCAGCTCATGTTGTTGGGTTCTTGTGTTCCTGGGTTCTTATGATGGTTCTAATGATGGTCGGGTTATATATGTCTGGTTGTGTATCATGCACTTTGGGTTCTTTTCTGTTGAATTGTTTTTAATTATTTTTGGTATTTTGCATCTGTTATATTCTTACTGTTGTTAATGTTTTTCTGTGTTTAGTTTGCTTTGTTCTTGCTGTTTGTCAAAGCACTTTGTAAACCTGTGTTTTTAAAGGGTGCTATATAAATAAAGTTATTATTATTATTATTATTATTGTCTGAGAAGGCTTAAATGTTGTTTTTTATGGTCGGAAAATCTGTTGAAGATGAGTTGGCAACTTAAGAAGCTCATGTGTGTCATTTTTTGGACACCGACATATACTGCAGTCACAGTTTAAGTGTTGTTTGAACTCTTTCAACTTTCTTTCAGCCTCCACTATGTACTGATATGATCTTATGATGGGGGATTTCTCACAAACAGCGACCCATAAATCTATTCTTCTTTCATAATTTGAAGTAGCTGCACTGAGGGTGAATGTGATGGACACTTACACCTTGCACACAACCATGATATCACCTTCACCCACACTCTTACTTTTTTCAGTTCCCCAACAAAATTGGAGTCATTCAACCAGACAGTTAAAACAGTTTGTTTTAGTGTAAAATTAAACAATAACTTCTGTTACTGTGCTAATCATTATTTCTCTGTCTTTCAGTAACATGACTAGTGGGTGGGGCAGGACTTCCTGCTTCCTGAAGGCTCCTCTTTAGACCAGACCAAATGCTCTGATGTCATGGGGGAAGGGGGGGGGGGCTGCATTAGGTCGGTTCACTGAGTTCACACCTTAGCTTTTCTCATGTTCAGTAGAGTTATGTTCAGTTATAGTTTCACTTTTAAAGCTAAGAAATTTGGGGTTTGTACATTTTGTATTCATCTTTGAGTAAAATAAAAACTCCTGTTGTCTCTTGCCTAGCTTCTTGGTCCTTAACAGTCACATTAAATCAGTATAACTTTACATTTATCTTATAGAGAAACAAGCTGCTTGATCCTTTATAAACATGTTTGATCATAGCACTCTGCACTTTATTTGGCACTCTGCGATTAATTGAACTTGCTATTGAAATCCCAACATGTAATCATGTTATGTTTTAATGATGTATTTTAATTTTTTTTTTTTATGGTTTTTGTTTTCATGTGCAGTCCTGTATTATGGTTTTGATGCCCTTTGTCACTAACATTGTGTTTTTATGCAAAAGCAACATTACAAAAAAAGGCAACACGTCTTCTGATTGAATTGTTGCCCTGACGATGACCTGAAAGACCAAAATGTCTCGTGGTTACTCCCATGAAAAAAAATTAAAAAAAATGTTCCACCAGGAGTTTACCTTTCAGGATGAAGACACATGTTTCACCAGAGTTGTGTTCTTGGTTGCAGATGGACGGAACAAATAGATTGGCTTTGTATGAGCGGACATCACACAAGCTCCACTTCAAACTTCTCACAAAGTCTTTAGAGTCCGAGTTTAAAGACCTGTTATATTTGTACACAGTGATGATGCGTTTTGTGGGTGGAGTCAAAATGGTGTCAGAAAGTCAGCAGTGGTGTTGAATTAACTGTTTGTTTGTTTGTTTTCTGGCTTCTTGCCTTCACTTGATAAGACGGTGTATAGAGTAGTAAACAGGAAAGAGAGAGGGGGAATAACGTGGTAATGGAACCCAGACCCGTCCCCAGAGGACCAGAGCTTTCTCACATTCGGGGCAACCCAACCACCAGGCAACTGTCATGAATTAACAATTAGTTCTTCGGCAGATGTTCAGCAGAAGCAGCTTTTGAAGACCCTTGTTTACTATCACAATGACGTTAATCATCCTACTACGACGCTCGATGGTCGATTATCATCCAATTCGTCAATGTCTTCAGAGACATTCACGTTGTTATGGAAGAGTTTGTGGAGTCACAGAGTACATTTAAAGAAATGAATATTATTTTCACCATCTATTTGTAATAAATATTCAAATTAATCAAAGTACGTTGTTGGTGTATCTCTGTTAAAAGGTCAAGCAGATCTAAGAAAGGTTGAGCCCAACAGGAGCCACAAAAAAGTGATAAGATTGATGACAAAATTCAACAGAAATTCTAATTGATTCCATGAGAACCTTTATTCAAGGTTGTCATTTTTTACACAGTTTGGGTAAAATGTGGTCAAATCTAAGTTGGGCAACCTCAGAGCAGAAAGAGCCTTGCCTTCCACACGATACTGAGGCTCCTGTTTGTTAAATCAATAAATTGTTAAATTGCCAATGTGTCTTGTTTCTTCAGATTTTAATCCTCCAATCCTGTTTTGCTGTTACTGTTTGTGTCTCAAAATAAAGAAACTTGATGTTTTTTCAAGTTTTTGAATTTTCATACTCAGCTCTGCTACTCATCCCACAGTGCATGTTCCTTACAAATGTGGCACCATTTAAAAGGGAAATAAACAGTCTTTCCAAAGTTATAGATTTATTGCCAAGAAGCATTGTTACAACAAAGAAATAAATCTACCAAACACAAATGTCCTTACTTTTTGTTCGATGTTTATGTCAACATTACAAAATTATTGTTTTGTTCCTCTGGTCTTAGGCCTGTTACATCCTAGATGTATTAAGAGCAGAATAGGTGCAGAAGTCAGAAGTCTGCGGTTCCTTCTTCTTCTTTGGTCTCTTTGATTTCTGACGGATTTCCACAGCAGCATAGCACACATCGTCATCCTAAGATTGATATTTGTCATTTAGAAGCCCAACCTTGAACATATTTAATGCTTTGATACATTACACTTTAATGATAGATACCTGGCTCTGTCTTGGATGACCTCTAGTGTCAGGTCTTTGCTGATCAACAGGATGTTCTTCAGCTGCAGGAATAAATATAACATCAGTACAGCACAATGAAACTCACACAGTGGAAGAGACTTAAAGGTGTCTTTGTGATTAAAACACTTAAGTGGATACATATTCTAGAAAAAGTGAGGTAGTTACCCTTCTTACAGCAGTGATAGACCACAAGTGAGGAGAGGAGAGAGGAGACAATAGATACAACTGGACACAGACAGAAGATCAGAATCCAGCACTCATTACAGTCCTGAAGCATCTTGGGGGGAGGAGTCTCATTCGGTTGTGTATCTAAATGAAAGTTGTGTTGATTACGTTCATTTAACTCTGATCTACAGAAAAATTCCTAAAAAGTTGGGACATGTAGAATCTAAAAAACATTGAATCCCCATATTTCAATGAAAATAGCACAAAGACAACGTAAATTGTTGAAACTGTGATATTTTATTGTTTTTGGAAAATGAAATGCCCAGTTTGAATTTGATGCCAACAACATGATTCAAAAAAGTTAGGATGGTGTCAAGGAAAATTATGGGGACACGTCGGACAAAAGCACCAAATTTTTTCCACATAGTCTCCATCACAATAGCTTTCAATTTTCACTTTGCACTTCATCAAGTTGGCGGTTCTAATATGGCGGCCATGTAAAGTCTATAAGTGCCAATATGTCTTCCAAGCCACTTAGAAAGTCAATCTTGGTGTCAATATATACATTTTCTGGGTAGAGGGATGCATTAAAATATGTGGAAAAATGTGGTGCTCTTGTCCGATGTGTCTCCAGTCTTCCCAAATCTGGTTCTAAGCTGCCTGACTAAAAGGCTGAAAAAAAAAAAAAAAAGAACGAGGTTAACTGGCAACAAGTTTCCAGCTTGTCTCCTCCCGCCTCAACCAAAGCCAGCAAGAGTCACGGTCTCGCCATGCAAGAAGGCGTCAACCATCCATAACTCAAGTAGTGTAGTCAATCAATCAATTTTTATTTGTATAGCGTCAACAAGTGTTATCTCGAGACACTTTGCTAAAAGCAGGTAAAAGACCTTACTCATTGTTATGGTTGTTCTGGCAGGCCGTCAACCAACGATCTCGAGGAGCCTAACCCCCAATTCACACATACACGCCACGGTCTGTCAGTCAGTCAATACGATCGTGAGTCCATATATTGTGTTTTATTTTGAAATTGACCGGATGCTCTGTGCGTTTCCTTGTCTGACTTCCTGTCCATACTGATATTCATATTCTGTCCAACTTGATGCGTGCCTGCAGCGTACTCCAGCGAAAACAGACTCGCTGCGTATTTGAAAGGGAGCAGAGGGTAGTGCCGTTGGTGGCACGCGCTGGAGACGGACCGCAGCGCGCCCTGTGTGAACACAACGATAGACTACTGTGGCAGCTAAGTAACGTAGTGCGCGGCGCTGACGGACCGCGGCGCACACGGAGTATGTGTGAATTGGAGGGTAAGAGAGCTCAAGAGCTCCCAGGAAAATAGGTGGTTAGTGACTGAGATTTACAGATAGATACATGCAGTAATATGATGAACTGTATATGCACAGTGAGAGAGAGAGGAGCTCAAGGTGCCAGTTCCCCCGGTAGTCTAAGCCTGTAGAAGCATAACTAGGAGCTGATCTACACCAGTCCTAACTATAAGATTTATCAAAAAGGAAAGTTTTAAGTTATTCTTAAAAATACAGACTGTGTCTGCCTCCCGGACTCCGGCTGGAAGATGATTCCAGAGGAGAGAGCCTGATAACTGAAGACTTTACCTCCCATAGTACATTTAGAGACTGTAGGTACCACTAGCAGGCCCGCATTCTGGGACCGTAGTGTTCTCGAGGGGCAGTACGGCACTAGTAGCTCTTTAAGATAAGATGGTGCCTGGTCATTTAGAGCTTTGTAAGTGAGAAGAAGGATCTTGAACTCTATTCTAGATTGTATAGGGAGCCAGTGCAGAGAAGCCAACACAGGAGTAATGTGGTCCCTTTTCCTAGTTCTAGTCAGTACACGAGCTGCAGCGTTCTGGACTAGTTGAAGAGTCTTTAGAGACTTACCAGAGCACCCTGACAAAAGAGAATTACAATAATCCAACCTGGAGGTAACAAATGCATGAACTAGTTTTTCTGCATTATTTTGCGACAGGATCTGCCTGATCTTAGATAAGTCCAGGCCAGAGAACCTGAAAGGGTATGTTCTTTGGCTGCTAGGTCCGTCCGAGCCGACTCTAGTTTTGCTAAGAGTCATTGAGCGAGAGAAGAGGGCCGTGGTAGGGTAGACCGAAAATATCAGAAAATAGTTTATTATTATTAAATAAATAATTACTATAAGTGTGATTGATCTAATTATAAACACACTAGTGTACAGATTGAACTACTGTTGATGTAGCACGTAGCAACCACGTTCAGTTTGTATGCTCCCTAAATCTGGAACAAACTCCCAGAAAACTGCAGGTCTGCTGAAACTCTCAGCTCTTTTAAATCGAGGTTGAAGACACACCTGTTTACAGCTGCCTTTCAATAAACAATTTGAATGAGATTTGAAATCTTAACTCTGCACTGCAACTTTTAACTCTTTTTACTTTATTTATTTCAATTAATTTCATTTGAATTATTTTTATTTGAACATATTTTCAGATTTTATAATTTCAGTCATTTTTAAATTTCCTATTTTAATGTTTCTCTTTCCTCTCGTCATGATGCTTTTGATGTTTTGTGTGAAGCACTTTGAATTGTTGTTGAAATGTGCTCTATAAATAAACTTGCCTTGCCCTGTAAGAAAGAGTCTCAGTGCTAAACTGGCACTTCCTGCAGTCCGACTTGTCACCCATTAAAAGTGTTTTTGAGCATTATGAAAGGTGTAAAGGAGTCCTTGAACTGTTGAACATTTTAAATCCTACATATCAAGAATGGTAAAACATTACCCTCTTAAAGTTACAGAAACTGGTCTCCTGTGTTGTTTAAAGAAAAGTGTGATGCAACAGAGCGGTACACATGACCCTGTCCCAACTTTGAAAAGTGTTGCTGGCATTAAATTCAAATTGGCGTATCATTTTCTGTAAACATTTTATGTTTTCTTGTGATTATATTTTTTTAAAT